TCTTAATGCATATTTAAGTTGCGTCCTCCAATCCATTCGCTTCGCCAAACCGTTCGTGACAATACCGCCCTAATTTTACCTTTTGCTATGATAACTAGTCCATTATCTTCACAGAGTGCAGCTTTAAGTAAGAATTTAGAAAATAGCGACGACAATGAAGGTACAAGCTCAACAAAGCCTGCTTCAGCCAATGTGACTTCCTCTATTACACCGCAACCGATTATTCAAGAAACAAAACCAGCAAAATTAGTACACTTCTGTGAAACTTGTAATGCAGGATTTGCGTTGCGAAGATCGCTTATCTATCATAGGAAACAAGATCTTTGCAATAAAGTTACGTACAACTGTAATATATGCGAACGTGTTTTCATATCTGAAGAAACCTTAAAAGAACACAAATCCACACATTGGCAAGAACAGGAATGCACTGAATGTAACAAGTCTTTTAGCACAAATGACGAACTCAGTAAGCATATGGTAGCTGTGCATAATCGTAGTTTACGCAATCAGTGTCCTCATTGCAAGAAAGGTAAGAGAAGTAGACACAAATTAAAGCTTACATTCAAAGTCTATTTCCCTAGTTTTCACCATACTATCTGCACTCAAGGATCACTTACGTGTCCACAGCGGCGAAAAGCCGTTTGTATGTGAAATATGCAGCAAAGGTTTCAGTCAAAAAACAAATTTAAGGCAGCATATAATGCGTCATTCAAAAGAGAAGAATTTCAAATGTGGCGAATGTTCAATGAGTTTCGTCACCAAAGCCGAATTATGCTCCCATAAGCGTACGCACACCGGCGAACATCCATTCCGTTGTGATGAATGTCAAGCAACATTTACCATATCCAGTTCATTGGTGAAACACAAGCGCATACATACTGGCGAACGACCGTATGCGTGCGATCTTTGCCCAAAGCGTTTTACAACCTCATTTACACTGAAAAATCATCGACGCATACATACAGGCGAAAAACCGTACAAATGCCGCTTCTGTAATAAAACATTTACCCAGAAGCAAGACTGCATTATACATCATCGTACTCATACAGGTGAACGAAATCATGTCTGCTTTTGTGGCGATAAATTTACCCATCTAGGTACATTGCGTACACATATGAAAACACACGTTGGGGATGATGCTGATGGCACTACAAAGGCTGTGAGTAGAGGTAAGCGCCAATCGACTCAAGCGAAAAGCGGTGCTATTAAACGTAATCGGGGAAGTGCGGACATAGCCGATTTTAGTATTACTATTTTGGATGTGGACGAAGATGAGGAGGCAGATGATGATGAAACGACCACAGTACTAACGGTGGCACGTGAAGATATGGAACGTCTTGTAGCTAGCGATGCGTTACGAAGCAATGAAGAAGCTGACTTAGAAAGTGTTGGCGAGGAAAAACTAATGCAGTTAGCGATTGAAAAACCATAGCAATCAATGCGCGAATCAAGGGTAAACAGCGCAGAAAATTAAAACTAAACATAATAGAACAGGCTGCTATGTCTGGACTTAAAATTTAATACAACTAGTTTACGTTAATAAAAATATGTATGTAATTAAGAATTTTATTTGAAAGTGCCGGTTTTTACTGCTTCTAATTTTCAATCAGTATGGCAACAGTGGGTTTAATTTGCTTCCCACATTTTTTCCATTATTGTATGCTTTTNAAACATAATAGAACAGGCTGCTATGTCTGGACTTAAAATTTAATACAACTAGTTTACGTTAATAAAAATATGTATGTAATTAAGAATTTTATTTGAAAGTGCCGGTTTTTGCTGCTTCTAATTTTCAATCAGTATTGCAACAGTGGGTTTAATTTGCTTCCCACATTTTTTCCATTATTGTATGCTTTTGAGAGTTCATATGCGCGTTGTGAGGTGATGCAAATTTCAGATATTTTACATAATGTGTCGCACTAGTGGCATTTGTCCACTAATACTGCAACCACCACCTCCGTCATCGGCGCTGTTCCCGCTGGTTGTGGGGGGCTCAGCACTAAACCAATTTATCAATGAATGATGCACACTCTGAACGCATTTTCTCTGATCGGCAATCAGATTTTCAGAGTATTTCACATGATTAGCAAATGCTTCCTTCTCGTGCAACACATCTTTAGACATGCGATGCAGATCTTTGAGTATGGCAGAACCCCATAATTGGACATGAATATCTGGTATTTTTGAAGCCAATTGCATGGCCGGTGTCACCATATTCATGCTCTCCTTTGAGTTTCCAATGCTGAGGAAGACGTGTGACAGTAAAACCAAAGAGCAAGAGGTTAGCCGGTTTAGATCCTCAGCATTTGCCATTTTTAATGTTTCACGCAGAAATCGTCTGAAAGAAATAAATAAACAATTATATTGTCATATATTAATCCAGTAGGTCCCACAACGCTCGGCTAAATCCTGATTTAGCATCGTGGACTCTCGTATTGTTTTCTATTTTTCTTTTATAAGATCGCAAAAATTTCTAGAAAATGAACTCACTTGGCCTCATGAAAGCTGCTTTTGTGAAAGGCGTGGAGTCCTTGTACGTAGTAGAAACCACCCATTAGCGCTTGACTGCTATGTGTGTGCGTATTTTCGGTGGATACAGTATCCAATATTTGTTTTAGATCCTGTTCTCGCTTTGTACGTAGAAAGATAATTGCCAGATTTAAATTTGCGAACAATTTTAGGTCGCGCTCAGAGGTTTCCATAACACAAGCTATGAATTGCCGCTCTGCATGCTCATAGAAGCTAGTCGACATTGAGTATAAGCCGAGTAAGCAATGTAATTGCGCGGAATGACGCCGGAGTAGACCACGATTGGGTGTTGCAAGGCAAACATCCCGCGCAGCGGCGATTTCGGTAATGGCTAGTATACGATTGCCCATTACCATGCGGCACATGACAATGTGCTCCAGTAATATCACCTTAAACACCGACAATATGGACTTATCGTCTTGCGCTTTTAATTTTTCGATTTGTGTAAGCGCTTTTTCGGTGTACTTTTGTGCCTTGTCCATATAGCCAGCCATCATTGAGTGCGAAACGGTTACTAGGTATACCAAAACATAAAGCTGTTCTTTAGGCAACCACACAAACATTTCCAATGCGTTTTGTCCGAATATAGCTAAGAGCAAAAAGTTACAAGAATTTCAATTGGAAAATTAACATAACATAAAGTTTACCTTCATCTGACGGCCAATTTGGCGCCATTATAGTTTGAATGGACGTTTGCAGCTGTTTCAAACTAGGTTTTACGGTTTTTACCTGACCCAAGGCAAGGTAGTAGCATACCTGTAGCACAAGAAAAAACACTTTCAGGTATTCCTTTTGATGAGCATTGGTTATGTTGTTGTCGATTATGGCGCCGGCTGTGTTTAACAAAGCCAATACATCGTTTGTTTTGCGTTCGATCATAAGAATCATTGCGCGTGATAACAGAAACAGCACTTTGAGATAAGTGGCGCCCGTCTCTTCGGCTGATTCTACACCCACAGCTAGGAGTTCCGAGGCCAACGAATACTCCCTATCCGAAGCGTGTATTTGCGCGAGTTGTAAGAGCAATTTGCAATGCCAGAAAACATTGTGCTGCGATAATTCAACAGCGCGACGCAACATTGCCTTTGCCTGTGAATTTTGTTCCAACTGCACATGTAGCTGCGCCAATAGCGAGGCGGTGTCAAACTTAACATCATCAAAGTGCACCAATGTCTCGGATAATTTCCACGCGGTTTCTAAATGATTTCGAGCCAGATCGGTATTTAGCGTATACGCCATCAATATTTGGCCCATTTGCAGATGTGTGCGTGCTTCCACCTTCGTCGGTGGCTGGAAGGTGAACAAAGCTTGTAAACACTGTATACATTTTTTAATGTTCGGTGGCTTAGATGTGCGGAAATACTCGGCTAAGCCAAGCAAGGAAATATAGCACGCATCCTGAGACGGTGCTGTTGCAGTACTCGTTGATGCCATTTCTATTCAACATCTAGAGCAATACTAGCAGGCAGAAATGTAACTGTTTCAAACCCCTAGAATCGAGTTCATAAAAAGTTCCTGCAAGATGTAATGAGTGGTAGAGTGGATAATATAAATAATCACTTTATAAAAAAAAGAGGCAAGTTCTAAAGAATTTATAAACAATTTTAACAAAACCGTCGGCGACCGTGCCACCAAAAAATTGCAAGTTAGAGATGAAACTTAGGGATAAAACGATACTAGTAAATACAAGTACATACTCGATACTTTTCGTCCGATACCAAGTACAGTGGAATACGTGCTTAGGGCGAAGGTGATGTTGCAAATCGTCTGGCGAGCGATAACTGTGAACAAAATCAAGGTTCCGCGCTGCTACATTACCTTTTTTACAACGGCAGTTGTAATCGTCGTTCGTCGACGCACGCGAGATGACATTCGCTGCTGTGGCAAGTCATCAATGGTCCTGACATGAGCTTGCAAGTTCACGACTATACCAAGATTAGAGCTGCAGGCGGCAGTACTAGCTTCTCGACTCTGGAAAATGCTGGTGAGTTACCACGACACCCAGCCATAACATGTGAGAAACGGTGGTCATGTGGACTGACTCGAAGACTGTCCAAGCGTGGATAGCTTCGGACCACAGAAGGTCCAAGCTTTAGCCATAGAATTGTGGAAATTCTAGATGATCAAAATGAGTGGGAGTGGACTCCAGGCGCCCTAAATCCAGTGGCGTCCTGGCGCAGACTTCCTGAGAAAAGACGAGTAATTTTGGCCCAAGTTTCATGCTATCGACAAAACTCGTGAGCAATTACAATTACGGACGGGGACATGCCGAAATACTCTTCGTCCTTTCGACTCGCAATAGGAGGCGCCTACTTGCGGAGGTTTGTGGAAAAGAGCTCCAACACACCGGAGAAGCACCTATACGGTTCGTTGACGGTGCGGAAGTTCGTTGACGGTGCGGAAACTTTGAAAAGCAGAGCTCTTGGTCATATGTATCACGCAGCGGAATGAATACCTCGATGAATGCTCTGTGCTGAAGGGAGTATTAAACTTTTCAGACTATATCAAATGATGGATGACATGGGTATAAATCGAGTGAATCGTCGACATCATCTTCTAAACACGCGTCAATTGTCGACTTGTATCATCGCATATGGAAGCATCAAAATCGCTGAGCTGTGCCGCAAGTGCTGGATACCTACGGTCGCGAAGAAGTACGATCGGCAAGGGAAAAGATGTCAGAGGGAACGGGTAAGACTCGAAATAGCACAAATGTGGCAACTACCCAAAGACCGCCTCACACCCTTCGTTCGTCGTTCCCGTATGTGGAGCAAGACTATATGGGACCATGCATAATTGTGACCAGCAGGCGAACAGAGAAACGGTGGATTGCGCTATTTACTTTTTTGAGCGCACGCGCCGTTCATCTGGAGATTGCTGTTCGATGAACGCACTAGAGTACTCATCGAACAGACCTATTGTATAGCGTAATGTATGAAGAAGAAAACGTCATAAAAACGGGACCTCTAACACACAACGCTTGACGCTCCCAATAAAGAACCACTAGCCCCTAACGATTTCCCCTTAGGGAGAGCTAATTCCGAGTAGATCACATCCTTAGGAGGAAAACGGCTGGCAGAATACCTCCCGATTTGTGCTGTCGGACCGGTGGAAACCGGTAAAGCCGTTAACAGCACCGGACCTGGTGCTGGTCTGCAACATTCGCGACCACTACGTTGAGTACTCGGAATCAAGTTCGGTCAAGATAGGTAGGTCTGAATGGAAGAGGTCAAGACGACTGGAGGAACGTTCATCCTACTCCTCACTGTGCAGTATCTAATCGAAGAAAATATCGACTTGAAGAACACAGCACTAAAATGTCAGGGCATAGCTGTCGGGTCAGGCGATGTCGAGCTCGAAATATTTAACGTATAAATATACAGTGTAAACTGTGGTCCGACAGGATATTACCATCACCATGGTATTACGAGACATCAACGCACACCGCGATCATTGCCACCCAAACCCGTCAAATGACAATCATCCAATTGGCTGAGCAGATAGACGATTCGACATTCACACCAGGACTGTGCGCAGCTACAGCAGTTCGCCAGGCCTAAAAATTTCTAGCGCACAGTGACGGACCCAATCGTGAATACCCAATCGTTTGATAAAGTGATAACCTTGGTTAAAGAGATTTCCATACAAAGTTTGACAGTCCATTATACCAAAAGATAAATTTATAAAGTTTATCTCCAGTTTATTACTTTTGATGAAGACCCCTAATATTTCGAGTATTAACCCACCATGCAAAACATGAAAAATAGGCAACAATCGTCCATGGCAACAAATTAGCGACTCAAACACGATTCAAAACTGAGACTGTGTTCATTAAATGCACTGCTCAGCTGCCGCTCTTCGTATACGTGTGAAACACAACTCTAACCATACACTTGTACTACTGCTGTATGAATATGGCTGTATTAATGCTTCAAAAATACAAAAATGCATTAATGTAACAGTATTAAAGCATTCTTATAAGATATTTATCCCTTTATGCAAATGC